GGGGTGAGAGAGAGTTACACTTTGTTTTTGCATTAGTTCTCTTCATTATTGCCTGACTTGCCATTCTATCTATTGCCTTTTCATTAGTTGTCTTCAATCTCATATTCCAAATTAAAACATATAGCATCAGCTACTCAATTTCTTTACATTTTACACCAAAAAAATAAAACTCAATAGATTCACCTTCCTTTAATTTTGTTAAATTACATAAATCTCTCTTTTATTTAAAAAAAAAAAAAATCTTACATATTATTACCAAAACCAAATTTCGTGTGCATGATAATCGGACATCTCTTGGCTCATTCATATTCAGAATGAGAGGCATATATCCAGCGATTAAGTTTGAAAAATACACAAGTGATTGAAGCATTCTTTATCGGTGCAACCTCTTTCACTCCCTGCAATTGCATAAATGTGATGGGAAAATGCGACTAGCATTACAATTGTCATGAAATGAAAATAACAATAAATATCGGTTTTGCCAAAAAAAATAATAATAAGGATCGGTTTACTTGCATTTGAGACATCCTTGCATATATGTTCAGGATCTTCAGAGCATTTCCAGATTCTTGTGCTTCACGTGCCAAAGACACTCCTTCGCCCAAGTTCCTTACATGGCCACGGGTCAGGACACCTGCTGCTGCCTTGGGGACGTAGCCTTTTTTTTTTAAGGGCATAATGAGAAACAAAATAGATTTTTCAGTTCATGTGCATACAGAGCGCAAGATGAAAAAGGACAAATAATAAAGAATCAACGTTTACTTCAACATCAATGAGACAGTGCACTGAAGCAACAAGAGGGATGGGGAGAGCGGTCAAAACTAAACTACTACTATGGTCCTCCTGGTCGGTATCTGAGGTGTTCCGCAGTGGAAGTTCGAGGAAACATTTATGAAAGAAAAGCCAGTTTTCAATTAATTCTGATGCTCTAATTTGTTTCTCTGGTTAACCTCCATAACTTCTATGGTGGAAGTTTAAGGGCAACGTTTTAAAAAAGAAGAATCCACCAGGATAAGCCAAGTTTCACTTCCTGATGTTTCAGAGCCATGACAAGAAAAAGGAGGCCAACCTTAAAAAATGTGCAAGAATTTTGAACGTAAGAGGAGAAAAGAGCAAACTAAAACCAGGCGTAACAAATTCGGTCTCAAAGATAAGCATCTAATAAGGGAGCTTGAAGCTCGTGGATCATACATGCGTACATATACATGCATGCACACAAACACAAATTGAGGTTAACCTTTTCTCATCAGTTAGTGGTGGCATCTTCTAAGCTGCTTAAAGATTAGGAAAGAAAAAGCTACTCACAGCACAAAGGCACCAGCTATGGGCCTCTCCCTTCAGCAAGGACCCGCTTCAAAACCTCTGCATTCTATTCTGGACCACCACCTTTCAAGCTATCAGGGTTGCACCAAGGTGTACGGAACTCCACTAATTGCTGGGGGGAAATAGTTCTCACATATCAGTGCATTCAACTATCCATTCTACATAAAAGATCTCTCATAGCACTCATTTAGTTGCTAGTGTGTGTCGTATCAGAATACTTCACAAAATATAAGATGTACAAAGCCATTATTTATCGCACGCTTACATGGATCAAATAGGAACTTCTCAATCTTTTCTGGAGTGACATCAAGTATCACACCATGATTCGTGGGAAACATACAAGAATACCAAAATCCGGAATATCTGATTCAAATACCTACGTCGACCAAATAAACAATCTCCAGAGTAGCAATGAAATCAAGAGGTTTAACCAAAAGGACTCATTTCATCCAAGCCTTCAGAGCGGACAACCAAAGCTCTTTTCATGCTAAACCTTTTAAGTGCCCCAGCCATTTTGAAGACCTATCCACAAAGCCAAACCAAAATTCTTTTCATGCCAAATCTTTTGTCCTCGCTGTCAAGCTTTGGGGAACCCTGTGCTAAACAACACCTCCGCATTACTATAGGCTACCAAAATTATCCAACTGCTAGGAAGAAGATAGACTGGTTCTGACTGTAGTTCAGAGACCACATAACGTATCCATCTCATCCCATTCCTGTTTGCCAAGGGACCTAGTCATTTGAATATGTACTCAAGCAAATGAACAAGAGTCTTTTCTCTTTTTCTATTTCACTACCAAAAATCATCACAAGAGCATGTGCCTTTTCTGAAATGATGGAACCGACTACGGTCACGCACAATAATTTCTCTCCGAACAAGTTGAGATATCATCTTTATAGCATCATGGCAATCGTCACAAACTCGCAGGTTCTTTACTATTCTAATTGTCGTTCCTGGGCTAGTACTAATCAGCCCAAATGCTATGGCCAACCTCTCACTGTGAATGGATAACGCATCCTCTTTTTCTTCTTCATCCACATTATGTACCACAAGATCTGTCCTAGGTTTGTATCCACCTTGCTTCAATTTCCATCTTAATTCTCTAATCATTAAATCAATCTTCTCTGACTGAGGATGTGAGATCAAGTCTCCCATGAAGAACTCGTGAACAGTATTATCCACCTCGATCCAACTACACCCAGGTGTTTTTATCACTCCTTTGTCTCGCATTCTCAACCTACACTTAGCTGCATCGTCTAGCCTTCCCTTTGAAGCATATATATTAGCAAGATAGACATAGCTTCCAGAGTGGTCAGGAGCCAATTCAAGAATGCGTTGAGCTACGCGTACACCTCTCTCTGCATCTCTATATTTCCTGCACCCGCCAAGCAGTGCACCCCAAACTAAGACATTAGGCTCGATAGGCATTGAGATAACCAAACTCTCAGCTTTCTCCAGACGACCAGTGCGGCTAAGAAGATCAAACCACACCCATAGTGTTCAATCTTAGGCGCAATTCCATACACTTGGTCCATCATATGAAAGTAGTCCAGCCCCTCATCAACCAGTCCCGCATGAGTACATGCTGTTAGTAGCCCCATGAAAGTTATATCACTTGGCCTCAATCCATTTTCGATCATTTCTCTAAAGCAAATGAAGGCTTCATTTGCATGCCCATGCATTGCCAAGCCAGTGATTATAATAGTCCACGAGGTCACGTCTTTTTCCTGCATTGAATCGAAAACATGCCTAGCATCTCCTATGCATCCACACTTTGCATACATATCAGCCAGTGAGTTCCCTAAAAACAGACTCAGCTTTATCTTATTTCGTTTTATGAATCTATCAATCCACTTCCCTAAATCAAGTGCTCCGAGCTGTGCACAAGCAGACAATACACTAACGAGTGTAACATCATTGGGCACCAGATTACTTTGTTGTTGCATTTGGTGAAATAATTCTATAGCATCAGAATATTTCTCGTTTTGGGCATAACCAGAAATCATTGCGTTCCATGAAACTACATTTCTCTCTGGCATTTTATCAAAAAGCTGGCGTGCTTCGTATAACTTGCCCATCTTTGCATAGCCACTAATCATCGTCGACCAAGAAACCATGGTTTTCTCACCCATCCCATCGAAAATCCACCTTGCCTGATTGATGTTTCCACTTAAGCAATAACCAGAAAGTAAAGTGTTCCAAGATACAATATCTCTATAAATCATCTTATCAAAAAGCACCTGAGCAATCCCAAGCCGACCCACTTTAAAATACAAATCCACAAGCGAGTTACGGACAAAAAGGTTTGATTCGCATCCATATTTAGTGACCATGCAATGAACTTTTTCACCTTCTACAGCCCAGGCGAGTCCAGCGCAAGCCTTGAGAACGGAAGTAAACGTGTATTCATCTGGGTTTGGAGCACCAGGCGTAAACAATTGCTTGTTAAAGTGATATACGGTATCGTGCCAGAGATTGTTCTGAGCAAATGCTTTGAGAAGGGCATTGTAAGCGAAGATATTTGGGTTTGTAAGGTGGTGCGTGAAGATTAAAGCACCGTGGTGAGCATTGGCGCGGGCGCCGCATACCCCTATGAGCTTAACGGCGACAATGTTAGGGTCAATAGATTTTGCATCGGCAAATACAGGGAAGCCGAGAAGCTGGGCCTGAATTTGATACAGGTGACGCATGGTTAGCTGTGTGTCGCATTTAAGCACCAAGTGAATGGATTTGGAATAGTTGCTGGGATGTATTAAAGCCAGGGTGATTATGATGTTAGAGCTAATTTTCCACAAATTGCAACAGATTTCGATCACCGAGATTAGCTCCACCAATTGTGCCAATCATCCGAGGCTTGGAAGGAGCTTTGTAAACGGAAAACCAGAGGAGAGTTTATGGGATGGTCCAGCAACTCAGTTGGCACATCAGCATGCCTCATTAAAATGAGTACACCATATCAACTTCCCATTGACGCAGGAAGTGGCTTCGAATCAGCAAGGTTAGAGCAGTGCCTATCATCTGGCACCATTACGAGTTGATGATCCGGGTGAGGCATCTGGGGCAAGGGAATGACGGGGGCCTTGTGCAGCGTGCTAGGCAACAGGTGGCACGTGCCGGTTTGGCTCAGACGGCATCAGGCGGATTTGCTTGGAGGACTTCCAATTCAACGTCCCACTGCGATTCAGTTCCGTCGAACAATTGAATTTTTTTTTTTTTGATTGAATCGAACAATTGAATTTTAAAAGGAAACACTACTTAAGAATGCACCACCGCAACTATATAATTTAGGGAGAATGATTAAAAAAAATACCTAATTAATTTCAAAATGACAAATTTATAATTTTGACATATTCTAATTTGTCAAAATCATTGTAAAAGTAATCAAAACCATTAGAAAAATAACTATAGATCTAACATAGTTGGCATTTAGTTAAATTCTTTAAACATTTAGTCAAGAATTCTACGGTAGGGAAGGATTAGTCACTGCTAGCCAAACTTTTTGAACTTCTTAGAGAGCTAGATGAGTCCAAAACTGAAAGAGAAGGCCTTGCTAGGAAAATGGACCAGATGGAGTGCTACTATGAAGCTCGCCATTCAATAGGGAGCTTTTAAAATTAGATTTGTTCTAAGTACCAAATCAATAGTAAATTTAATTTCCCGTTCAGGTGGTAATCTACTAATTTCTGTGAGGCACCTTGCCGAATGTCTCCTTTAGAGCTAGCAGAACTAAAAAAACAACTAAAAGAGTTGCTTAAGAAGGGCTTCATTTACCTAAGTGTGTCACCATGAAAATCACCGGTCTTATTTGTGAAGAAGAAGGAAGCCCTAAGCTCAATAAAAAAAAAGCATTACAAGAATAAACCTATTTGTCTTCTTAAAATTCGATCATTTTTTCTATAATTTATTTGCTCATTTTTAACGTCGGGGATATTTTTGTAAGATTCAAATTTTGAGCAGTATTCTGTCCTTGCTGATTTATTAAAGCGACTGTGTGTACGAATGTACAGTAAGCCTGTCGCCGTCGGACACAGCAAGGCATATGACGACGAAAATGCGCGCAGGTGAGCGAATGAATGGTAGCGACGCCCGGGTGGTAGGTTCATTATTGTAGCAAACTATCACGTGGTTATGTCTTCATTGTTGCCAAACTTGCCGTGCATTTGCTGTCTTCATTCTCATTTTCTTTCCTACCGATCGCCACAATAATATTCCAAACTAGAACAAATATCAGGAGCTTCACATTTACATCAAAACAATAAATAAATAGATACGCCTTCCTTCGATTTTGTTAAACTTACAAAACTCTGTTCTATTTTCAAAATCTAAACTTAAATTTAAAATTACCATTCGACTAACCTTCCGCTAGAGATGGATAATTTATTTTACATGCTACTACCAAAACAAATTTTTGCGTGCAAGATGATCGGACATCTCTTGGCTTATTCATATTCAGTATGAGGCCTTCCCTGCATTTATCCAGCGACTAAGTTCGAGAAATACACAATTGATTCAAGCAATCCCCACCGCTGCATTCTCTTTCACTCTCTTCAATTGTGGAAATGTGATGGGGAAATGAGATTAGCAAGAAGATTGTCATGGAATTTAAATAATAAGGATCAGTTTACTTACATTAGAGACATCCTTCCATGCGTTCAGAGCCTTCAGAGCCTTTCCAGATCCTTGTGTTTCACGTGCCAAAGACACTCCTTCGCCTAAGTTCTTTACATGGCCGCTGACCAGGAGAGCTGCTGCTGCATTGAGGACCTAGCCATTTTTTTTTTTTTGGCATATGGAAAACAAAATAGATCTTTCATTTCATGTGCATACAGAGTGCATGATGAACATCAAAGCAGCACACGATGCAATAATTTACCTTAATGAGAAAAATGAAAAAGGGCAAGTAATAAAGAATCAACGTTTACTTTACGGTGGAAGTTCGAGGAAACATTTATGAAACGAAAGCAGGTTTTCAACAAATTCTAAAACTCTCATTTGTTTTTCTGGTTAGCCTCCATAATTTTCTATGGTGAAAGTTTCAGGGGATCTTAAAAAAGAAGAATCCACCAAGATAAGCGATCAACAAGTTCCAATGGTGTAATACACTTTTTAAAAATCCATAGGGAGCCAAGTTTCACCTCCTGATGGTGTTTCAGAGTCGTGACAGGAAAAGGAGGGTGAACTTAAAGAATGTGCAAGAATTTTGAAAGTAAGAGGACAAAAGAGAAAACTAAGACCGGATGTAACAAATTTGGCCTCGATAATAAGCGCATCTAATAAGGAAGCTTGAAGCTTGAAGCTTGTGGATCCCAGACACACAGGAAAGTAAAACCGGTGCCACCTTCTAAGCTGCTTAAAGATCAGGAAAGTAAAAGCCACTCACCAAAGCATCAGCTATAGGCCCTCTCTCTCCAGCTAGGACACGCTTCAAAACCTCTGCATTGTATTCTGGGCCACCACCTCTCAAATCACCAAGGGTGCACCGAGGTATATTGAACTCCACTATTCCAGGGGGAGAAAATAGTTCTCACATATCAGTGCATTCAACTATCCATTCTACATAAAAGATCTCTCATAGCACTCATTTAGTTGCTAGTGTGTCGTATCAGAATACTTCACAAAATATAAGATGTACAAAGCCATTATTTATCGCACGCTTACATGGATCAAATAGGAACTTCTCAATCTTTTCTGGAGTGACATCAAGTATCAAACCAGGACCTGTGGAAAACATAAGAATACCGAAATACAGATGTCAGGAAAATCTGATTCAAATACCTACAGCTAACAAATAAACAATCTCCAGAACTGCAATGAAAGCAAGAGGTTTTACCAAGAGGACTCATTTCATCCAAGCCTTCAGAATGGACAACCAAAGCTCTTTTCATGCCAAACCTTTGAAGTGCCCCAGCCATTTTGAAGACCTATCCAAAAAGCCAAAACAAACAGCTTATTAGATGCAGCGTGTATGGTAGAATAGATGCCAAATCCATTCAGCTTAAATCTTTAGTTCCTGTACAACTGTAAAAAAGCAGTAACTACATAATACATTAAGTTTTACTGTCAACTCACTAAGAAAATGTCTTATATACCTGGGTTGGTGTTAGCTATTAGATAAAATCATGGTATCGTATTGGTAATCTAAATATTTAGTTTGATTTTAAACAATACTATTCCACAATAACCTTATCACAATAGGATGAATAGATATAGCCTTAAGAGAATCAGCCAGTCTTAAGCAACATCTCAGAATTTAATCAATAGATTACATAGTACCCAACTAAACATGCTTGGGATTCTACCTTACTATTTGGACAGATGTGAATTCAAGTTTGTGAACAAGTTGTTTTAGATGCCAGTTTTTTTGGAACCTAGATTACAAATCGATTGAGATAGGTTGACAATTGGAGAGGCAGACAATCTGAATTGGCTTTCAGGGTGATGCATAAGTTCATAATTGATAAATCAAGTTGTTTTGCCATTATTAGTGTTAGTATTGAAGATATTATGAGCATATAGAATTCACACAATGAATAATTTCATAATCAGGCATGCGATATTCCACCAAAAAAATTAGGTGAAGGAAAGATTCAAATAGTTTTCTACTATGCGTAGATGATGTAGAATGCTAATGAATTTAATCTTCAGTTAGCAACAGTAAACAATGAATGAACTCACCAAATCTTCTGCATATACTCCAACAACTGCATAAGGTACTCTTGCTGGATTTAACATGGGACCCAATATATTGAAAACAGTTTTTACTTTTAGCTTTCTTCTTATAGGACGGACAATCTTCATCGCAGGGTGGTACTTCGGAGACATCATAAAACCAATTCCAGTTTCATTCACGCATCTTATTATTCCCTGATTGCGATTAAAAAAGGGAACAACAAAATCAATTTACTATACACATTTGTCAATGTCAAGATTATCTCTTTGCTTCATTCTATTAACTAAATAAAAGTACATGAGGTTCAAAACTCTCCTTCACTCTTAAGTAATCCTACACTTCGAAATGAATTGATTATTTTATCTACTTAAATCTTGTGACTGCTTCATCTTAGACTTCAAATTGACAGAATCATGAGGAAACCATCGAACAGTTTATTTGTCTAGAAAAGCATACCCGAGAGCATAACTTATTATTAAAACTTAAATAGCTTTCTTTAGACCAAAGCTATACACAGGATAATTCTAACACTTTTCTATCAAATTGATGACCACAACTACATCCAATGTCCTAGACAAAGGTCTTCTGATTTGATTATAAATATGTTAGCATTGTTGCCAAACATCTCACTGACAGCTTTTGTTCATTGATAATTATCCCCAGAAAGACAGGGCTAGGATGAACTGATACCAAAGTCATAATTCTTAACTAGTCTAAAAATACCACCCTTGATATACGTTGTACTAACCTCGGGATCCAAGTCAATAGCCACTCCCAATGCTTCTAGTACATCAGCACTTCCACACGCAGAAGAACTTGAACGGTTTCCTTGCTGCAGTGAAAAAATAATAAATTACACTTCGACATCAATAAATGCTCCCACTGCATTATAATTTTCTGCCTCTCTGTCAGTGTATGCACTAAAATGCATCTTCACCTTTGCAACTTGAGCACCACAAGCAGCAGCAAGTATCGAAGCCCCAGTTGAAATGTTTACGGTGTTTGCACCATCGCCTCCAG